TATACTATATTAGACAAACACACACTCACAGACACACACAAACACACACATACACACATAAACACACACATACATACATATAGACAAAAACACACACACACACGCGCGCACAAACACACACACACACACATACATACATATCGGAGGGGGGAGATGATACTATCTCATCATCCTTTGCAATACACATTCCACAACAGGTGTCCCAGCTGGCTGACTGTCAGCACCAGACATATAGTCTTGTCATGTTTCCTTTAAAAGTGCAGCAATGGCAACAATTTGACCAGTAATTTTGGTTCTTTGAATTATCAAAGGACTCAAGTAGTGTATGAGGCTATCTGACTTTTGTAACTTATGTACAACTTCTTACATTGTGTCATAAACATTTATGCAAACATTTGCTTCAAAAATGGTGCTCAAACTTCACCAAACTAAAGTGCTTTTCTACAAACTCTGTTGATTGGTGATATTATACATCTTGTGCATCAGAAAACCCCAAATGCACCAAAAAGCACCCATGGGAAACGGAAGAAAATATTATATTTGATATGATTTATGTAATAATCATCAACAAATGCAATTTTCTTCCGTTTCCCATGGGTGCTTTTTGGTGCATTTGGGGTTTTCTAATTCAAAGACCAAAAATTACTGGTCAAATTGTTGCCATTGCTGCACTTTTAAAGGAAACATGACAAGACTATATGCCTGGTGCTGACAGTCAGCCATCTGGGACACGTGTTGTGGAATGTGTATTGCAAAGGATGATGGGATAGTATCATTTCTCCCCCTGGGACTGAGCAGAGCACTTTGGACTAATCTCTCTGGCTGTTTACAGCTTAGAGGTACATATCCAATATTTTGTCAAAAACTTCTCTGTTACATAGTAGATCATAATGACCACCAGCGGGGGTCTTCACGCTTCGTTAAAAATGGAAAAATATCAAGATGTATTCCAAATATCTCAATATTTAAGATGCAATCTTGAGATCTTATGAGACAATCTTGAGATTTTTCATGACAATCTCAAGATCTTTCAAAAATCTTAAGATGAAAACGAAAGGTCTCAAGATCTTTCCAAGATGTTTCCAAAGAATCTTGAGATTTTTTCATGGCATCTCGAGATGCTTAAAAATATCAAGTTTGTTAAAAAGTTTAGAAAGCAATTTCAACGTTTCTTTCAAGATTGCTTTATATTTCTTTCAAGATTGCTTTATAAATCATGAGATCTTAAAAAAAATCTTAATATTTCTTAAAGCATTTCGAGATGCTATGGGAAAATCTCAAGATGGTTTAAAATATCTTGAGACCTTTCGTTTTCATCTTAAGATTTTCTGAAAGATCTCGAGATTGTCTCATAAGATCTCAAGATTTCGTCTAAAATATTGAGATCTTTGGAATAAATCTTGCAGCGTGAAGACCCCCGCTGGTGGTCATTATGATCTACTATGTAACAGAGAAGTTTTTGACAAAATATTGGATATGTTTTTCTAAGCTGTAAACAGCAAGAGTCCAAAGTGCTCTGCTCAGTCCAATAATAATCTGCTTGCTGTTTTACGTTATTGTTGATTTAATAATGTACATTAAGATATGTCATTCTTATATTCTCTGCTTAACTGCAACACTTTCTAATTGAGCACTTTATTGCTGATAATGACTTATTGCCTCTTTTTAAACTCAGACAATGTATAGCGACATTTTTTTCATAACCCATTTTTCATCACGTCGATGCTTTATTCCATTAATTGGATGACTTGATTAAAAGGGACTGACGGAGAATCTGCCCATTATTTCAGAGTGTCCAGACGGCATGTATGGACCTGACTGTACCCAGACCTGTCACTGTGCAGCCGGACCAGCTGCCTGTCACAAGGAGACCGGGGCCTGTATGGGAGGATGTCATGACTTATGGACTGGAGACTCGTGTCAGAACCGCACAGGTACAGGAATATTTTAGACCACATTCAAAGGAGAATCTGTGTTGCCATCGGCCATTCTCTGGCCGCAAAGCTGGATTCCCTCTCACACAGACGCAATGTCGCATCCCTATCCCTCTTTTACAGATACTTTCACGGTCGATGTTCAGGAGAACTTGCACGTCTTGTTCCGCCGCTCAGAACCTTTCAGCGTGCCACTAGGTTCTCTTCCAGTTCTCATCAATACACCGTTAACATACCTGTCTCCAAGTCATTTTACAACAGCTTCTTTCCCCGACTGTAAAATTATGGAACTCTCTTCCAAACAGATGCTTTCCGTCCGACTACAATCCACAAAGCTTCAAAACAAAGTTTCACCGCCATCTCCTGAAATTACTACATTATACTCACTTAGGTACCTTTAATGCCTAGAAGAGGCCAAAAATAATTGGCCTTGCGATGAGCGACACCGTTAAAAATTGCCATTACATTCTAATATCTCCCAAAATATCATCAAGGTTTCCAGCTCATTCAGCAATTTACTATGGTTGTAGAATGTTCTATTATTTCTCCTTTAGCGGCTGTCTCGTACGAGAATCTCTTTACCAAGGAGGCAGGTCGCTTCTTCGGTGATTCTGGCAATCATATAACAGCGTACAACAACATAGACGCCGAGGAGTGTGCCCGCCGCTGTCTGCTAGGTCACGGCAGTTACGACGGCGTCACCACGGCATGTCTGTCCTTCAACCACCGCCCCGCGGGGTCGCCAGAGGGCGGCTTTGCACGGTGTTGGCTCCGCAGTAGTGACAAGGTCATGGCGGCGTCTCCTGGTTCTGAGTGGGAGAGTTGGCCTCATAGAAACTACTACCAACGGAAACGTATGTACACTATACTTTTGTTGAAACCAAATTAGACCTCTGCTTAATCCTGGATGCCAATAGGGCGTCAAAATTCTTCCAACTTAGAATATGAATTCTATACACAAATGTAGTTCCAGTTGCTATCTTATGTAAATATCATCCTTATTGTCTAATGTTCTCAGATATATTGGCGCCCGAAGACTGTGCTGACGTGTTCGCCCTTGGGATTCAGTACAATCATGTCTACTTTATGGGCCACCCCCAACCGTTCCAAGCCTACTGTGACATGGACACTGATGGCGGTGGGTGGACGGTCATACAGCGGCGTCAGGACGGGTCCGTGCCGTTTAATAAGACTTGGACTGAGTACGAGCGGGGCTTCGGCAATCTCATGGGAGAATCCTGGCTAGGATTAGAGCACATCCACAGTCTGACAACACAGAAACAAAACGAACTGTACGTGTACTTGGAAGACTGGGAAATGAACAGCCGGTTTGCGCGGTACAGCAGGTTTTCTGTAGGGAATGCCGACAGCAAGTACACGGCAACGATCGGCGGGTACAGCGGGGATGCAACTGATAGTTTGGACCCGTCCACTACACGTCACAGCATCAACAACAGACAGTTTTCTACAACAGACCAGAATAATGCCGGTGCCAGCGAAAACTGTGCGGTTAAATTCGGACAAGGAGGCTGGTGGTACACTCCAAGTTGTGGCTGGGCCATGTTGAACGGACAATATCTGACCGGCTGTTCAGTACCTACAGCTACCTGCCCCAGTGCAAAAGGAATCTTCTGGGAGAATTGGAGGGGTCTTCTTTATTCCTTGAAGAAAACGGTCATGATGATCAGGCCTGCAGATTTTCCAGGTATGTGTTAGTGACACGGTGGTTGTGTCATGTGCTGTTGGCAAAGGTACTTTAGGATCCCTTGCTTGCTTTTCGGCCTTTTCCCACAGCTTTCAGCATGAATCAGTTGTGCACATGTTCAATGTAATCGCAAGAAAGGACTGCTGAGGCAAACAAAGGAATATAGTTTGTAATGCATATCATCTGTTGAAATTGAAAAACTATTGTAAATTGATAAATAATTCTACTACTTTTCCACAGCGTCCTCTTTCAAATCTTGCCAGAATGGTACCCTGACCTCAGGACCGGAAGGCTCCGGACTGTGCGGCTGGATGGTATGACGCCTTCTGTGATCAGGGTAGGTCAACTTTTTGACCGTAATATTGGATATCACGGCCTCTTGGATACATTGGACATGCTGCCGTGTTTTAGTATGTAGGTAGCTTAAGTTATGATTCATTGACATTCTCTCTCTCTCTCTCTCTCTAGCTCTCTCTCTCTCTCTAGCTCTCTCTCTCTCTAGCTCTCTCTAGCTCTCTCTCTCTCTAGCTCTCTCTCTCTCTCTAGCTCTCTCCAGCTCTCTCTCTCTCTAGCTCTCTTCTCTCACTCTCTCTCTAGTTCTCTCTCACTCTCTCTCTAGCTCTCTCTATAGCTCTCTCTCTCTCTAGCTCTCTCTATAGCTCTCTCTCTCTAGCTCTCTCTCTCTCTAGCTCTCTCTCTCTCCAGCTCCCTCTCTCTAGCTCTCTCTCTCGTTATCATCATCATCATCATCATCACCATGCTAATTGTTCAAATCTAGACGCAATGCGTAATCAGTGAAGATATTCAATTCCGTTGTAGAATGTCCTGACGGATTTTACGGCCACTACTGCGGGGAGAGTTGTGGAAACTGTGTTACAGGAACAGTCTGTGAGAAAACGGACGGCAGATGTTCAGGATGTGAGGAACCTTGGGTTGGAGACACCTGCAAAATAAGTAAGTAGGCATACATCTGAAACTTGTCACGTTACCGTATACTAGTAGTATTCACTATTGGTGATTGAATTTTAACCCAATGATGAGAAAATGATGAGAAAAATGATTTCACAATACGATATTTCATGTGACAACCAGCTAAAAAATTACGACCGTAAAAGTTACAGTGAGATTTATGTTTCGATGTGCTTATTTTCATATACAGTGACTTGTGTTTATATTGTTCCAGTACCTGCAACAGTGTCAGACGATCCGGAGAGTTTCACGGTAGTTGTTAATAATGAAGCAACGTTTAGTTGCACCGGTCGCGGTGTCCCCGCCCCTACCGTCACCTGGTATCACGGTGCCGAAGTCATCACACCCGGGGCTGGGATCAGTATAGCCGATACAGACGGAGGATTGGTGGGAGAACAACACGTGACCCACAGCACCTTGACCATTACGTCAGCACGTCGACAAGATAACGGACAGTACGTCTGTATCTTGTCTAACGTGGCGGGGAACGATACGTCACAAGCAGCTACACTTGTCGTGCAAGGTACGGACACTGCCAACGTTAGGCCACACCGCCTTAATTTTATGGATAACATCCGCGCGCGTACTGATTTTCACCTGTTCTCAAAAAAAAAAAAAGATCACGTCCTCCGAGGCTCTAGCCTGGTTCTACGCCGGTAGTCCATAGTAGTTAGCAACAATACGGAGCCGGGCACACAGGCTACCGAAGCTCCACGACTACTCAGAAGTTAGTACATACCGTACAGTGCCGATTTATAAATTCGTCAAAAAGCCAGCATGTGCCGGCTTGTTGTTTATGTCGCTAAGTATGCTGCCGCAAATTCACAATACCAGCTTTGTATTCCTATGGTTTAGTAGCATTTTTATTTTTGGCCGGATTTTTCTCTTTTTTTTTCGCCCGCGCGCACTAGTTTCGGAGACTTCAGAGGATGTCATCCATAAAATTAAGTCAGTGTGGCCTTACATTCGTTTGTCGGAGAATATTATGAATATACCATGATGAAAGTCTTCAAATTGAATGAATATGCATACTTTCGTCTACTATTTCTTTGCTGTACATGTAACTGATCATGACGTGTGTAAAAACGCCTACATTTTATTGATGTCTATTAATTTTGCAGAACGCCCGGATGATGTTACAGTGAACGTCACCGCAGTTAACTCCACAGCTCTACACGTCACGTGGGCAATAGGAGTAACCGGTAACCTCGACATCATCGACTCCCAAGTACGCTACAAAAGGAGCGGCGCGGCGTCCTGGTCAGACTGGGCGTCAACTGGAGTTTCCGATGTGAACGGCGAGGTCTACATCTACAGCTTACGGTCGGGTGTCCAGTATCACGTCCAAGTCCGGGCGTACTCCCTGGGATGGAGCACTCCTGGCACTGGGGCGGGAACCACAGACGACGCACGTAAGAGCGCTTATCTTCTCAACATTTCGTGGTACTTCTTTGTTCCTTTAAGATACCTGTACAACAGTGCAATCTTGAAATGTGATTAGCATTACCTCCTCTATCTGCTTCATTTACAGCTCCTGGTTCTCCTCAGAACTTGCAAGCCGCACCAACCTCCCACAGCTCTGTCCACCTGACGTGGGAACCTCCGATAGAACCCAGCGGTGAGATCCTCAACTACACAGTTCGATACGGACCGTCCGAGTCGTGTCGTGAAGCTGAGTCTCCCCATCAAGTTACCACGTCAGGCGGCAGCACCACTACCGTTATCGGAGACCTGGTTCCGTACACAGACTACACATTCCGGGTGCGGGGGGCGACAAGTGCAGGAGGAGGAGACTTCAGCGACTGTAGAGTCACAAGGACACTGGAATACTGTGAGTACTGCACTGTACATATACAGTACTAAATATGAATGGCTTCTGTAGCGTGTTGACGAGACTAGAGTGTTAGCATTGAAGACATTTCCATGTAGTGTGGGTTTTAGTACTCCTTACTGTGAGAGATTCTCAACATACGATCAGAGTCCACAAAATCTACATCATCTACATCAGACATTCTTATCTACCCATGGCTCACAGACCCAGCAGCCCCAGTTGTCCAGACGTTTGCAGACCAGCACGACTGTAACTGCCGGACGCCAAACCTCCCCCGGCCGGTCCAGCTGCGTGTAGCCTGGCGGCGCCCTGACCACATCCACGGTCAGCTGCAGGCGTACCGAGTCAGCCTGTACAACAGAACCGGCGGGGAACCGTTCTACCAGGAGAACATGACGTCAGGACTGCAGCAGGAGAACCTGACAGCTGTGATTACATCACCACACCTGCAGCCCGCTAGGAACTACTCTGTCACTGTGAGTCAGAACTGTGACATCAATACATTTTGTTATTATTTGCGCCAGTTCAAATATTTGTTTACTGTTTTGTTTGTTCAATTTTTCCTTGATTGGACAAAATACATCTATTATTACTCTCATTTCAGACATATTATTTCTATTATTTGACCTCCAATGCATAAACAAACAAACAAACATCTTATGAATAACTTAAACTGTTCTCCAACTCAAAATTTGACTCACCAGAAATTTTCGACTGAATCATTCAGTCTTCCTCAGCTATCTGACCCAAATGCTGTGGACACGTGATTTTTCCCACGTGTGACTTCAGCAAAGGGTCAAAGGTTGTCTGAAGTCGATATCGCCCCCCGTCCCGGTTGAGCGATGGTTGAAGTGCCCTGATGTATATGGCCTCTTTTATGTCTCTCTTGAAGTAATCCTGTTCGGTATCCAAGATTCTGACCCCCTCTAGATCCACTGTGTGTCCCGGTGATTCTATGTGGATGTGCTGTGACACCTCAGATGCAACAGAACTGGGTCGTCTATGTTCTAGAAACCTGGTTTTTAGTGAGCGTTCAGTTTCCCGACAGGGGCCTCTGTTGGTGTTTCCCTGGCAACTTATGTGGTAGATAACCCCACACTTGTCTTCCTTGGGAGTTTTGTCCTTAGGTGCCACAAGAAGCTGTCTTAACGTACGATGAGGTCTAAAACAGGTACTCACTCCATGTGCAGCAAAGATTCTACGTAGGGGCTCAGAAACACCCTTTACGTATGGGAGGACTACAAGTGTTTTTCTGTTTTTCCCTCCCGTTCCCTGACTATCTTGGGGTTTAGACCGGGGCTGTCTGGGCTCGGAGGCTTTCCTAATGAGCCACTGAGGGTAGCCACACTTCTTTAGGGCTTCTGTGACGTGATCGATCTCGGCAATTCTATCCGCAGGATCACTGATGATGGTATTAGCTCTATGTAAGAGGGTCTTGATCACTCCCAATTTGTGGTCCAATGGATGGTTTGAGAAAAAAATTAGATATTGGTCCGTGTGTGTCGCCTTGCGGTATATGTTAACCCGCAGGGACCTGTCCTGGTTGATTGTTGTTAGAGTGTCTAGGAAGGGCAGTGAACCGTCTTCTTCTTGTTCAAATGTGAATTTTATATCTGGGTCCAAACTGTTTAAATGGTCTGTGAACTCCTGTGCATAGATTTTCTTTAACTTTGTATGGGTATCATCCACATATCGGTACATCCAAATAGGGGGGTGTGGGGCGGTTTTTATCGCCAACTGTTCTAAATATTCCAGATAAAGATTGCACACTATGGGGGAGACAGGAGAGCCCATAGCGGCTCCGTACACTTGTTGGTAAAACACCCCCATCATACTGGAAATATGTACACTTTAGACAAACTTGCAATAGGTCTACTATATGTTCGGGCTTCAAAGTTGTTCTTTGGGGGAGGGTTGTGTCTTCTTGTAGTCTCTGGGAAATAACACTGAGGGCCTTATCAACTGGCACCGATGTAAACAATGCAGTTACGTCGAACGATCTTAGTTCCTCGTCTTCTTCCACCCTCTCATTTTTAACCAATTCTGCAAACTGTTGAGAATTTACAATGTGATGTTTCGTTCTGCCGACAAGCGGAGACAGTATGCTAGCCAAGAATTTTGCGCACGGATATGTAATAGAATCGATGCAACTTACTATGGGACGCAAAGGTGTTCCGGCTTTATGAACTTTCGGCAGGCCGTAGAACTTCGGTGTCGTCTCGGCCGTGGGATAGAGTTGCCTGTATTTCACTCTATTAATCCCCCCGTCCTCTTCGATTTTCTGGAGCACGGCGACAAGTTCTTTCTTGTATTTGGATGTGGGGTCCCGTTTGCCGAGTTTCCGGTAGGTGTTGGTGTCACACAAGGTTGCACACTTGTCCTTGTAATCTTTCTGGTTAAGAACCACGGTCAAACGACCTTTATCCGCCGGTAAGATGGTGATGTCTTTGTCTTGGCGTAACGATTTGAGAGCTCCCCTTTCTTCCTTAGTGATGTTAGACTGGATGTGTCTTTTCCGGTTGAGAACGGACGAAACTTCAGCCCTAAGTGCGTTGCCCTCCCTCTCAGGCAAGCTACGACACGCCGCCTCGGTCTCAGTGACTATGTCAACTACCGATATCGACTTCAGACAACCTTTGACCCTTTGCTGACGTCACGGTCAGATAGCTGAGGAAGACTGAGTGATTCAGTCGAAAGTTTCTGGTGAGTTAAATTTTGAGTTGGAGAACAGTTTAAGTTTTTCATAATGTAATTTACCAACTCAGATGAACTTTCATGCCAAACAAACATCTTACTGTGATCTTGCGAATATGTTAAGAATTCATAAAAAAGGTGCCCAAATGCTAGCGATTGATCCTGCAATGATGCAATCTTAGCACAATTGCGTTTAAGGAATATGCTAAGATTTTCTGACTCATCTGTTTTGGAACATTTCCATCTGACAGGTATCAGCCATGAACACCTTATACCGTGGAAACGAGAGCCATCCATTCATGACCCGTACGAGTGACGGATGTAAGTATACGTTTTTAAATCAAAACTCATTCAGCAACACAAAGCTGTGCTCGTAAAGGTGTATGCATTGTGATGGTCATTGTAGATATCTAATATATTTCCCTGTGGTCTGTAATTATAAGGACACCCACAACCACTTACGAAGGCATCCAGTGCAGTTCTTAGGGCTTGGAAAACCCATTTTTAAAGCCAATTTTCTAGTCATTTATCTACATACCGAGTTAAAACCACACTGTCCAAATGTATATTGACCCTCATGGGGCAAAGATTCCCAGAATTTTGACGGAAAATGTTTACTGGAATGACCCTGAGCTCATTTTTAGGGCACCACCCCGAAAATAAAGGAGTCATCTTGGGGCTTGTTTCCGCAGTTTTAAATGCACAAAGTATGAAATGCTGATTTGAAAGTGCTAATGTGAAGCAGTATGTGTCAATATCACAAATATTGCCTTATTCAGAATATTGCTAGTTTTGCTGCCCTGAAATCGCATTGTCGCATTTCCATATGAAAAACAAATCTTATATCTTAATTTTTAGGTCCAGATGCCCCGACTGTGACAAGACTGGCAAACAGTGAATGTGGAGTGAACTGGACAGCTCCTACAGTAACTAGAGGGAGGCTGACAGGATACAATGTAGGTACAGTCATTATGGCATTGACATGATTCAGAAGCACCCGCGTTTTGTGATGGCATTTTCATCCTTCAATACCATAAAAGTCTTGAAAGATGTGATATGGACTATAGCTAGACCAATTGTTAACTAACTATGACTTTTTCCGCACAGGTTATATATGTAGACACGCCACTTCATAATCCGGACGGGTCTGAACCCGGCATCAGCCGTGACCCGTTGGGTTTGGATGAACAACAGTGGTCCAAGTCACTGGCTGAGCTCCCCGCCAACTCCTTGGTCCGAGTCACGGTCCGGGCGGTAACCTGCGCAGAGGGAGACAAGGGGGAGGAGGTCACCTGTCAAGTCTCAAGAGTTGGTAAGAAATAGTTATATTAGTAGAAATGTTTAATTCAAATACGTTTTGTAATGTATCTTAGTTATCTTTGTTTGGGGTAGGCCCTAGGTTTCTGGCCTACCCCACATATTGTCTTATTGTTATTATTTAAATATGTACCATTTTATACGTGCAAATAATAAATAAACAAATAAACAAAATAGTTTTGTAGTATTGTTGTATTACTGACACACATTGTACCATGTACGATTGTCGAGCGATAAAGTTCATTCATTCATTCATTCATTCATTCATTCATTCATTCATTCATTCATTCATTCATTCATTCATTCATCCATTCATTCATTCATTCATTAATATTACTACTTTTAGTCTGAAAACAAACAATATGCAACTCAACTGGCACTTCTGTTTCTATGACAGATGGTCGTGTGGTCATTTAGTTCGTAGCAAAAGACACAATTTTGAAGTTACGCTGATCATTTATCATTTAGAGCCACCGCCGCCTCCAGTACTCCCTACCGGTCCACCCCCGAACGCCTCGGCAACATCTTTCCCCATGTTCCTTCCGAAAGTGAGCGAGAGGAATGGTCCCGTACGGTACGTGTGTCTAACATTCGTTTTTTTTTCTTTTCTTTATTAAAACATTTAGAAGCAAAGTGGACAGGATGACGACACACTCAAGCCGAAGCTTATGTTCATGTCGCCATCTAACATTACAAAAATACAAAAGCAAATGCAAAAACAGACATGCAAAGCTTAATAATAACAGAATAGAATAAATAAGGTTACAATGTGTAAAGTACTCCAGGCAAAACTTACAAAATTGATAGGAAAGAATTACTTAAATCTTTTAGTTTCCTTTATAAATGATTGAACATAAAGTAAAAATTTCAAGTTGTTTGGATATGATGGTGATACAGAACCTCTAAGGAATAAATGAACTAAAACATCATCAGAGAGATCATTGAGGTTTATGTCAAATCCTACCAACTTAGCTAAATTGCAAAAAAGGGAGGCACGATATTGTGTATATATAGTGTCAAACATTCGTTCGTTATCACGGGGAACAGTTGACGTTTATACACATTGTCTTGTATTTCTTTCTATTCTTAATCAATGCATTTGGACGGGGCCAGTGTCTTTGCAATCGATTCACAATTAATTCGCTGCAGTTGTTGCCAAGTCATCGTCATCACAATGACTAAAACAGAGAGCCTTGCTGACCTGAAAACAAGACTTGGAGAACCTGACGTCATGCTTACAGAGGAGGCCCCCGATGGCGGGAAAACTGTACCTTACGTGGCTTTGTCACTTTCAACGTAAGCTTGCTTGTTCCTTAGATTCATATTACATTGTAGCGTACATTACAATCACCCGAACATATCAGAATGGACAAAACATGCTATAGGATGCTAACATAATCTACAAAGCGCATTGATAACATATGCTTTGTAACATGTTCTCTGTACTGAATAGCAAAGACAAGTTATTTCATCAAAACCATTTATTTTTCAAGAGCCGACGTTTCGATGACCGTCTGTCATCTTCATCAGGGCAATTCTGACTGGTTTACTGTGCACTGACACTAGATGTTACTTGGTGCATAGTGCACTAAAGGTGTTACATAGTTCACAGTGCACGTAAGCTAGTTTTTACTGTTTACAATGCATTCCGAAACGTCGGCTCTTGAAAAATAAATGGTTGTGATGAAAGAACTTTGCTATTCAGTCGTTTACCAACCTGATGAAATTATTTACGGATGTTCTCTGTACGTTCTTCCACCAGAGAGGAGTACAAAAGAACCGATGTAGTACAGATCGGCGACGGGGCACCCTGTGGTCATGAGTGGTGCTGTGGGCGGAGTGAACTCGCCGATCCAAGTCGCGCAAAGACTCCTGGTAATAAGAAACTCCAGTCAGGGGGCAGGTACACAGCAGCAGTGCGGTGTTACGTAGACTCTGGAGCCAGAAGACGCAAGCGGAACACAGAAAAGGTATGTATACCATACGTCGATGAAGGTTAGACATCCAGGTAATACAATACGCCAAAAAGCAGTTACTCAAGCAACTGGATATGATTTTGAAAACTTCAGACGTTTCAGCTAGCTTTCGTCAGTGACTGAGAGACCAGAGGGGAAATGCAGCTTTATAAGCACAAACTATTGATTGATGCAAATTTGCTTTATCTTGTCTTGACTTGTCTGACTTTTGTTCCCTTTTTGACTTTCCAAAATTTGTCTTCACTTTATTTGCATATCAATCAATAGTTGTCGCTAATAAACCTGCATTTCCCCCCTGGTCTCTCAGTCACTGACGAAAGCTAGTGGATACTAGCTGAAACGTCTAACGTTTTCAAAATCATATCCAGTTGCTTGAGTAACTGCTTTTTGGCGTATGTATACCATAGCTGAACGCGTACATTTGGTCAACTTTGGAGTTTCCAGTGATTCATTTTATTGCCAATGTGTAACAATGTTTGATTCATATTGCTGTAGCTGGCAATGACATTTCAACATATCTTACTTCACGGTTCATACGCCGTATATTTTCTATTCATGGGAAAAGTTTCCATTTTCAGTTATTCACGACAAGTGGGTACATTGAACCTGTTATAACAGAAATGGACAACCAACTTGAAGGTAATTCGTATGGATTATAGAATCTGATATATATATATATTCAATATATATGTAAATATGAATTGTTTTCCTTTTTGAATTATTGAGTATTTAAAATAGCCTTTATTATTTTCGGCTGCAACGTATGGGGCCAAAAAAATGTCTGAAAATATACAACGCATGGTACACGATGGTTTAATTCCCTGATTGTCAAGAGAAAAAGTAATGGACTATCATTTTTTATGACAACTCTCTCTAGTGTGATAGGCTGAATAAAAGTTCTAAACGGGAACTATGCGGCTCCAGATGTCTTACTGAGGGACGACTGCGTGTGCGAGATGTCGGTAGCTTGAGGAATGAATCCCCTCTACTATATACTGACAACTCTCTCGTTGTTAGTAACAATGCAATAGTGGTGTATTATTTTCCCAACGTAAATATGACATAATGTGACTATCATTCCCTTCTAGTCGAAACTGTTCCTCTTGTCCCCATCATCGCTGGCTGTGCGGCTGCTCTACTGGTGGTTGTTCTGGTGACAGTAGGGATTATATGTTACAGGTAAGTAATGTCCCTATTCACATCATCTATTGATGTGTCATGATTAACCCTCAAACACCCCAACAGGGTCCATTTGGACCCCAGGCGTATATTTTTATGTGCTATTTGAAATTTTTTCATTCGAAAAAAAATTCCTCCCGCGACTTTGTCGATAAACCTCTTCTACAAGTTCTCCTATTTTTTTTGGAGATCGGCACAAATTTGTAAAAATAACAACGGAAGTCTTATGTAAGACGTGTGGGGTCCAAGTGCCATGTATTCAGAGGTTTGACAATTTGACAATCATATGAGGTCAAAGGTCAACCCCATGTTCATGCCTGCAGGCCTCATCCTATTTTTACATAAATTATGATAATGAGCTGGAATTTTTTAACACTTAATCATGCCAAAATATACCTCTTACTATGTTTAACCGTACTCTGTGTGCAAAGACTACTGTAATCCTTGATATGTTCCAGGAAAAGAAGGTCCGGAGACGACCAGAACCCTGCAGGTCTTCAGCTAGATCTAAAGATAATCAAAGGAGACGAGCCCTCCGCCACGGAATCAGCTGAGAATCCTGCATGTAAGACGTTGGATGAAGACAGTTCACTTAATAATTACGAAACGGTAACTATACAATCATATAGTCACTTCAATGCGCATTTGTAAAGTCTTTTTATAATAAAGATTGTTACTAGCGTACCATTGCATTGACATTGCACTACTACTAGGTGTTTTAAACAGCGTTATGCTTCACCACCATTGATGGTTGATGATGACTAATTCAACTTTACTGTCTACTACAGACCATTTACCACATCCAAGACCTTGTCACTGTGGACGACGTAGTGGAATTCCTGAAGTCCAGTGGTTATGGGCAGTACGCTGCAGCATTTAGGCGTAAGTTCCGTTCTGCTCATCCTTTCCTTTTTTCGATAAAACAGTGTTAATTGTCACAGTGATCCTTCGGATTCGGAGGAAAGATGACATCTAAACTGTCCATTTGGATAAAATGAGGTTTTACTACTTCGCAAAATTTTGCTAGATTCCCTGTTTTTCAGGACACAAGATAGACGGAGAAGCAGTCTCGAATCTGAGCGACGCTGTGCTTGCTGAGCTGATTCCTGAGATCGGACCGAGGGTCAAACTACAAAAAACACTGCAGGAGCTGAAGGACAACTCGGTTTGCTTCTTATTCTGTCATTATTCTGTCATTAACCTTTTCCAATTTCCAATTTAATTCTGCAATGTGAGCTCTACTGTTCCATGATAGTGAATGATTTCAAAACAAATGTCAGGATGTTACACATGGCTACATCTTTTTACCTGGATGTCTAACCTTCATCGACGCTATCCCTTTTCTGTCTAGGACTCCGCTGAACGCAGCAAACCTGTCCACGCTGACTGGGAAATTCCCCGGTCCAGTCTGACGCTCGGTAAAGTCCTGGGGAAGGGACAGTTTGGAGAGGTCCGTATGGGGGAGCTGAGGAAGAGAGGTGTGACCCAGACTGTGGCAGTCAAGACACTGAAAGGTGCCTTTCATTCAATGCTTACCCGTAGTGAACAGATGTCATTAACATCAGCATGAAAGTTCATCTGAGTTGGTAAATTACATTATGAAAAACTTAAACTTTTCTCCAACTGAAAATTTGACTCACCAGAAATTTTCGACTGAATCACTCAGTCTTCCTCAGCTATCTGACCCAAATGACACCATCGCTCAACCGGGACGGGGGGCGATATCGACTTCAGACAACCTTTGACCCTTTGCTGACGTCACACGTGGGAAAAATCACGTATCCACAGCATTTGGGTCAGATAGCTGAGGAAGACTGAGTGATTCAGTCAAAAATTTCTGGTGAGTCAAATTTTGAGTTGGAGAAAAGTTTAAGTTTTTCATAAGATGTCATTAACATACATATAAACAGATGTCCTTCAACACACCAATACATGTGTACCTTGTCAAATTCTAGCATTAATAGCACATCTTATTATTTCAAAGAAAAGTGAACTAAGGGAGGTAAAGATTAAGACACGCAAGTTTTTCTTGTTACGGGTAGCAAGATATAAGGACTATGTGAGTGGTATCTTTCTTTTTACAATTTTTTCAGCATCTGCCGAAGACAGGGACAAAGAGGACCTGATGGGGGAGCTGGAGATTCTGGTCACTGTCGGTCGTCATGACAACATCATCAGTCTTGTTGGCGCATGCACAGTAGAAGGTAATACCAGTGTTAAAGCTCAAATTTCGCGATATGAGGTCCCTTTAATCTGTAAATGTAAATATTTGTCTACTGCAAAGAAGTTTTTTTCAGTCAGGATGTTTGTAAGATTGTCAATCTATCAAAATCTGTGCAATATGGCCTAATGTGTGTTCAAACGTTAGTAGCCTCGTCAGTTGCTAATAGCTATAATATATAATGTCATCTGAAAGCTTCCACGCTTTACAGAACTTTAGTCGTACGTATCAGTTTAAATCCTTCCACTTACCATCCGGATATCCACGTTAGGCCCTCTGACACTTGTGGTTGAGTACGCACCAAACGGCTGTCTGAAGGACTGGCTGAAGGACAACCGTCCTGAGGAGCTGGACCAGACAGACTGCACAAACATCGCCACCGCCGGGGTTCAGCTGCCGATGGACCAGCTCATCCTGTTCGGTATTGACATCGCGAATGGGATGAGTCATCTGGCAGCCATGCAGGTACACTAAAGCATGTTTCTGTGTCGAAAGGGTTGATTTTCATTACAACGTCCTAATCAAGGACAAGATTTTTGTAGATACACATGCATTAGAATCTGAGCATGGTTTTAAACTGCGCTCATAACTAGCCGTGTCCATAGCCGTAGTCTGCATTCTCATATCAAACGGTGCTGTGATCACAACGAGTATAGCTTCTCATGCAGGTAATGTTGAGGCAGGCAGAGGATAGAAGCAATGATAGATAATGTCAAATGGCTAAAGTAGGCATGGACGAGTTTGATTTAAAACACGAGGAGGCGACTAACTTTAAGTGTACTTTTGATTGAAAAATGCATCGCTACAAAATTTTATTGCTGTCCATCAGCCTCCACGCTTACCTTAATAGCTCTATGAATTAGTTATACAAAAATACATTAATGTGATTCTTGAAAATGTTATGTTTTTATGTTTTACCTGATTTCTGTCACGGATTATGTAAGTATGGTATGGCCATGTAACCGATCGTCCACGCAGTGTGTCCACCGTGACCTTGCCGCCAGGAACGTACTTCTGGGGAAGAACCTGACGGCCAAGATCTCAGACTTTGGTCTGTCACGGGATATCTACGAGGACACTGAGTACGTAAAGAGCACCAAGGTATTAAAAATATATTGTTTGTTTGTTTGTTTGTTTGTTTATTGGTTCGCATATATATTAAAAAAAACAATAAAATGAACATCTTTACTGACAATAAAATAAAATGCTGGGGAAAGATATTAAGCCATAGTGGCTTGTCTGGGATCTTCCCCGACAAAATTAATTAACAACTGAAATAATACTGACAAATCAAATGGTAACAATAAATAACAATAAGTAGTTAGTAAATTTGATCAATATGATCAATATGATAATGGTAACAAAACAAATAGTAACAATGAGTAACAAAAGTGATTGATAAATAACGCTAATTACAAATAATATGTTAAAACATAGGTTAACAGCAATAACTCAAGAAAAAATAAATGAATTTTAAAAAGAAACGGAAATTCAAACTTATACAGATGAAATCACAGTAATAAGACATCAAATGTCGGTGGGAAATAAAAGTATGTGATTTTTAAGATTTCGTTTAAAGCTAATCATTGATGTTAAACATTTTAGGTGGAGCGGGAGATTATTCCAAGTAGTTGTACATTTATATTTTACACTCATTTTGGGCTACGGACGTTCTAACTAGGGGGATATGGAAATGGGCACTTTGTCGAGTTTGGTAAGTATGAAAATGGGAATTAAGATTTAGAAGACCATTAAATGTGTCTGGAAGAGAACAAGTAAGGAATTTAAACGTAAATAGCATCAGATGAAGTCTGTTTATATCAAAAATATTCAAAATCTTAAGTTTTGTAACAAAGGTGCAGAATGTGCGCGGAAACTGGCGCCGGTGGCTGAACGAACAAATCTTTTTTGGAGTAATACTAGGGGCTGTAGTGTGGTTTTGTAGGCGCATCCCCAGACTATATTCCCGTAGGTTAGGTATGGGTATATTAAGCTATTGTATATGGTAATAATGGTTTTTTGAGTAAGAAGATGTTTAAGTTTTCCAATAATACCAATAGTTTTTGAAATTTTTTTTACCTAACATAGTTATATGTGGTTTTCCAGGTTAATCGTTCATCAATGATTATACCTAAGAATTTGGCTTGACTCTCTTGAGAAAGGGTCACATTTTTTAAAAAGATTTTGGCGCTTCTATTGTAGGTTTTATTTCTATTACAGAAAATAAGGTAGTATGTCTTCTTAACATTGACTGATAATTTATTTGCCTCAAACCACGATATAACCCTTTTCAATTCTTCGTTAGCCAGGTTTACTAGCGTATCAAAATTCGAGTTTGAAAGAAAAAGATTTGAATCATCTGCAAATAGGATAAAGAAAATAATTGAGGATGCTTTTTCGAGGTCATTTATATAAATCAAAAAAAGTAGGGGTCCTAGTATCGAACCCTGTGGGACACCACATTCTATTATTTTAAGTTGTGATTTATTATCATTAAGGGTTACGTATTGCTGTCTATTGGATAGATAAGAAGAGAACCATTTTATTGCGGAGTCACATATACCATATCGTTTTAGTTTATTGAGTAGAATGGAATGATTAACTGTATCAAAGGCCTTTGATAGATCGAGAAAGATTCCTATAGTGTATTCTTTGTTATCTATAGCGGTAGAAATTTTTTCCATTAAGTGTATGAGTGCCAGAGAAGTAGAATAGCCCTTTCTGAAGCCATATTGGTGTTTATATAGGATGTTATTTTGATTTAAATGTTTCAGAAGACGATTGTATACTAGTTTTTCCAAGACCTTAGATACGCAGGGAAGGACAGATATTGGTCGATAGTTATTAACACTAAGTGGATCACTGCTTTTAAAAATAGGCGTTACTTTTGCGACTTTTAGTGGGTGAGGGACAACTCCATTTTGCAAGGATAGAGACAAAATATGCGTTAGAGGGGCAATAACATAGGGCAGTGATAACTTTAGTACTTTAGGGCTTATTTCGTCATGACCAGCAGCTGAGTCTTTTAAGTTTTTGATAATATCTGTAATTTCAGCACCAGTTGGTGGTATAAAAGTTGATAGGTTAGAATTTACTTGTAAGGTGATGTAGCTAAGAGGGTCTTGTATTCCTTTTGGGATTTTACTATCAAGTGTAGGTCCAATATTAATGAAAAAATCATTGAATTCGTTACATATTTCATCTTTATTTTCGGTAGTTTTGGTACCAATTTGTATTTTGTTTGGACCAGCTGATTTACTTTTATTACGATTTAAAACGTCATTTATCAGGTTCCATGTTTGTTTTATATTACTAGTGGCTTCATTGAACTTTCTGTGATAGTATTCCTTCTTTGCAGTTTTTAGGAGATGATTTAACTTATTCCGGTATTTTTATAGATACTGTGGTTTAAGGGTGTCGGGTTCTTGATATATTTAGTAAAGAGCTTGTTTTTTCTGCGTATTGACTTTAACAATCCACTGCTTAGCCAGGGTTTTCTGCGCGAATGTTGGGAGATTTTTGTAATTTTCTTTGGGAAACATTTTTCGTATAACGATCCGTATGTTTCAAAAAATTGATTATATGCTTTTTCTGTGTCTGTTTCGTTTAATACGTCGGTCCATACTATTTCTGATAGGGATTGTGTAAATTTCTGAATATTAGTTGTGTTAACTTGTCGATAAGATATTTTGTCTGTCTGCCTGACTGGCTCGTTTAAATCGGATGTAAGGAATATTGGGAAGTGATCTGATATGTCAGTGATGAGGATGCCAACTTTGATATTGTTGCTAACAGAGTTTGTATAAATGTTGTCTATCAAGGTAGCAGAGTAGGGTGTAATTCTGGTAGGTTTGCATATAAGTGGGTAAAAGCCAGATGAGAACATTTCATTTACATGATCAGTAGTGGGTTGGTTAGTGTTGTTTAACAGATTAATATTGAAATCACCAATAATGTAACAAGTTGTTCTTTCCCTATTAATATTGTTCATAGATTCCTTTATGCGCTCATTGAATTCTGTAATGTCGGTATTTGGTGGGCGATACACACAGCTCAATATTGTTTTTCTCCTTCGGGTTACTTGGAATGATTTCAATGAATATACTCTTTGTGCCTGTGTCGTCGATGATAAATTCTAGGTCAGGTCGTTCTTGATAGTATACGTCGTTTCTTATGTATAGTGAAACCCCCCTCCAGATCTATTCTTTCTGCAGTGATGTATGCTATTATAACCAGGTATACTATAATTTTCTGTGATATCATCTGTTAGCCATGTTTCTGTTATTGCAAGAACTGTAAAATTTTGGTGCAGGGAGGAGAGATATTCGTTGAGCTCATTAAAATGGCAAGGAAGGCTTCTTACATTTAAGTGGAACAGAGATAGAGTGTTACAACAGGACATGTTACAAGATTTATTAAAGGATTCAGCAGTATAATATTGGGAAGATGTATTTATAGAAGTATAAAAGTCGTTAAGAAAGTTTGTATCAGGATCCAGTGGGGAAATTTGTGACTTATTGTCTAAATTATTTAGTTCAGTAGGGTTAAATATCAGGGTGCTGGGTTGTGGGGTTTTGAGTTCATGATGGGTGTTCAAGGTTTACTTGACTTAGCTCAAAACAGTTCAGGAATTTCCACAGGAAACAGTTCAGGAATTTCCAATCGTGTCTTCAATGTCTGGAGTCGGCTCTTGTGCGTCTGCGATCTGTTCTTCCCTCCCCAGGTGGGTGTACAACGAGTTTATCAAACTTCAGGTACGCGATGTTTCCTCGTTCTCTTTCAGCTTTCATCTGTGGGATCAGTTCCTTCCTCTTCTGTCTCACCTTCTCTGAGTAGTCCTCATTAATGTAGATGTGGGTTCCCTTCAGGTATTTTGCTCGTTTCATGATTTGATCTCTGTCCTTGTATCTTAGTAGCTTTGCTACAATTGGGCGTGGTCGTCCTCCGTCGTTGAACCGTCCGTTTCTATGCGCTCTCTCGATCTCTATCTGTTTTGGGTCTAGCTTCAGTTTCTCCCTGACTAGTTCCCTTACTTTCTGTTCACACTGCTCCCAAGTCTCGTCCTTTGTATCAGCGACTCCGTCAATCAATATATTATTTCGTCTAGATTGGTTTTCCAGGTAGTCAACTTTGGTGTCGTTTGCGGTGATGTCTTTCTTGAGTAGAGTTATTTCTGTGTCTATGTCCTCTACCTTTTGTATATGTCGGAGTAGGTTGATTTTGTTTTCGTCGATTTCCTTTTGAGAGTATTGTAGGCTGTCCTTGATCTCTTGGACTTCACGTATAATATTGTCCATTCTCTTGTGTGTTGACTCCATAATCGTGTCCAAGAATGATTTGAAGTTCCTCTCTTGTAGTTCTAGTAGTTCTTTGACAACTGACAGGGATATAGAATCGTCTTCTGAGGTGTTGCCTTTTCTTGGCGCCATTCTTCCGGGGGGGAGGGTACTGAAATGACAACAGATACTCTCGGCAGCAAGGAGCTGGTTACAAATCACCACAAGCAAACACAGACTATGTAAAAAAATCAGTGCAAATGTTGCAGAGAGAGAAACCTACCGGCGGGGGCTCCAACTAAGGGAGCCCACTGCGGTGTATATATTATGCCATCTCATATCACGAGAGACTCATATTATTGAAAGCCAATATGATCTGGAAAAGTCAACGAATGAGGATGTTGTGAAACAGATTCGAGTCGTTTGCAAATGTCCACGATCTAATTAATGAATTCATGTCGCATCTAACATTGAATTTTCTTTTTCCTAATTCAGAGCCAGCTTCCCGTCCGTTGGATGGCATTCGAGTCCCTTTTCCACCACACGTACACCACACAGAGTGATGTGTAGGTATATTCTTCTGACAATATCGAACATCTACGCGTAGTTAGCAAGTGACCAACCATACATTTTATATGCATGTCTGTAGTACTCAATTCATATCAGAGATTATATATACAGTAACATAAGAATTTCAATGTTTCAGATGGTCCTTTGGAGTCCTTCTGTGGGAGATTATGACGATGGGTAAGAGAGGCACAAACGACATGTGCCATGTATATGATTTGGTGCCCTCCTAGCAGTACAAGCATTCATTGAAACATATATTTGGCTTAACGTTATCTCGTCAAAATCTCTCGCATTGTCAGCTATGAAATGTGAAATTGCATTATTCTTTCAATGCTTTAAGAAACAATTTCAGCTGTTCTGTAATATATACAGCAAAGGGTCAAAGGTTGTCTGAAGTCGATATCGCCCCCGTCCCGGTTGAGCAGTGGTTGAAGTGCCCTGATGTATATGGCCTCTTTTATGCCTCTCTATCGCTCAACCGGGACGGGGGGCGATATCGACTTCAGACAACCATTGACCCTTTGCTGACGTCACACGTGGGAAAAATCACGTGTCCACAGCATTTGGGTCAGATAGCTGAGGAAGACTGAGTGATTCAGTCGAAAATTTCTGGTGAGTCAATTTTTGAGTTGGAGAACAGTTTAAGTTTTTCATAATGTAATTTACCAACTCAGATAAACTTTCATGCTGATACTTCTTCCATGATTGACATGTTGGCACCTTGTCTGAATGTCTCTATAAATGATGACCACAAGTACAATTTTGTGATAAACCGTGATGTACTTAATCTTCCAGGTAAGAAGCCGTACGGTCAGATGGCTGGCAAAGAGCTCATGAAACTGTTGCCGGATGGCTACAGGCTGGAGAAACCTGCTCTATGTCCTCAGGACATGTACGTCTACAGCCCTTGTATTGAGCCTTGGTTTATACGAAAGCCCAGAGGAACAAAAATTGCGGTCTCCGCAGTGCTCCGTATAGGCCGTGTGCTCACAGACCTCTACATCGGTACTCTCAGGCCTCCGCAGAGGTTTCTGCACATAGCCTCTGCGGAGGCCTGTGAGTACATCTGCAGAGGCTGTCACTTTTGTCGCTCTGGGCCTTCGTAGTTTTAGTGCAACATGAAGGAGGCTCGGTTCAGTGACGGTTATAGAGATCCATATGGAATACTTACTTATGTACAATATACGTCCTGTCAAAATTTCAGTGTCAGTGAAATACCTGTTTCATTAATGCCAATATTCCGCATGCAACAGCTACGATGTGATGAGGTGCTGTTGGGAAACCCTCCCTGAGAACAGACCAACGTTCCCTGACCTGAAGGTGACTCTGGACCGGATCATTCAAGATTACAAGGTAACGTTTCCTCTGAGATGCATCAACTTTGTTGATCTTACTAAGTCTTCTAAAACGGTCTTTTCATCCTGTTTGTAGTATGCATCAAGATATCCAGTATCTGCAGCCCCATCTTGTACCAGGTAGCTAAGCACGCACAAGTACAGGGCTATATGATTTGATTTTGATTTATTGAAATTGCAACAGTGCAATACACGCGGAACAGAGGCAGCTGTTGCTGGTGTTGTGTCCCGCACATAGAAACGAATACTGGACAGACAATACTCATTTTCACTCGAGTCTAGTGGGGAAAGTCGTGTAAAGTGCCTTTCCCAAGGGCACAAGATCGGTGGCATGTCAGGACTCGAACCCGGGACCTCTAAATTCCGAGTCGCGCACGCTGCCGTTGCGCCACACGACCCCACATGATTCATCTATTGCTTTGTATGTAGGTCAATTCTGTTGTGCCCACGTATCTTTCTGTATGTCTACATGTAGTCAAAGGCCTTACGAAAGTCGCTGTACTTTTTAAATCAGAGATTTGTTTGTTTCTTTTGCAGACATATGCCTCACTGATGAAGTAAGAACTGTGGATAGAAAGATAGAGACAGAGAAGAATCCATTTGCCAATTGAAACTTTCTATCATTTTCTACATAATGTATAGCCAGAATGACTTATGTATACAATCCTAGAAATATCAAGCATAAGAACAATATCTTACACTAGTTATGGAACAGTATATTACTCCCATGAAGATTCATTTTTGTCACAAACACAGTACATATACTGCACAAGCTGCACCATAACCTAAGAATATATCAAGGACAATTCACTTAAAATCTTTTAGCAAAAACAATTAATTTCTTACATTCTTATTCAATATATTTGCATCATGTATTTTCTCATTATATCTAACCAAGAGTTGACTTTGCACAATCGAAAACATGACAAAAACAACTGAAGAAAATTTCCAACTTCCTTCACCACAGTAAGACAGTCTAGTACTAAAACAAGATGTATACTGGAACAAAAATTACCAACATACCTTTCAGCAAAGTCACATGTTACAAAAGCATGACATCCAAATCAGTAATGTTTTAACATTAACCTCCCTGGCACTACTTGTTATATAAATGAAAGACCTTTATTGTACGTTTGTGCTCTACCAAGCTAAGTACAGGTCATGGGTAAACAGGGAAAAGAATACAGTAATGACACTTACATACTATATATACTAATGTGGTCTACTATTTACAGGTTCAACTTCTTCTCGCTTCTTGATGCAGTTACGCATGTACGAACATATAAAATTGCTGTCAATGTCAGGATTATATTATTATAACATTCTAATACTGCGGGACGTTTGAATTGTATAGCCTCACAATGTACTACCTTATAAGAAGTTCTACATGAATAAAATATATTATATATATTCAAGTCTTGGTACACTCTCACATGTTCCAAACACTTGATTTCTGTATATTTGCGCTGGTCTGGAGGTACATGTACATTACAATTGTGTTAACAATAGCATGGTAGCATATTTTTGATGGTGACAAAAAGCACCATCTAACTTCACTGACCTACAGCAATTTGTGTAGGCATTGATAAATATACAAGCATGGAAATCTACCTCCCTCCACAGCAGATAGGTATAAATGGACATAGATGGATATGTGTGATTAGCAGAAAATGTCTCTCTTGTAGCTACCTGTATATTAGTGCCAATAAGGCATGACAATATAACCACAGATTGATTAGAAAAACCAGCTCAGTCAGGTTATTTCTCGCACATCTGGCCATTAAAGCTAACGCGGGATCGCACAGAGCTCAAACGGGTGCGGGGTCAAGGTCAGATCAAAGACGCCGTCAGTTAATGGAGGAGGAGCGCCCTCTGGCGTCCTGAATGTGAAGGACTGCAGCAGGGTCGAGAAGAACAGGAACAGCTCCATCCTGGCCAGCTGTTCCCCAAGACACACACGTCGGCCTGGAAATATAGAACGCCGAGTTGTAAGGCCAGCCAGCCGTCGAATAGAAAGTATGCAATCATTACTGTGTGGTTACTGTGGCCCAATAACGATATCTCTAAGCCTTACCGCCCCCAAAAGGCATGAAAGACTCAGGCTTGTTGGTGACGTTCCCTTCCGCGTCCAGAAACCTTCCGGGGTCAAACCGGTCCGGATCAGGCCAGTAGGCGGGGTCCATGTGGAGGGAGTACAGGTTCGGTAGTACCTGGATCGAAGGAAATAGAATATATGTCGATGCACACACACACACACACAACCACACACACACACACACACAACCACACACACACACACACACACACACACACACACACACACACACACACACACACACACACAGACACACACACAAGCACACGCGCGCCCACAAGCACACACACACCACACACTGACACACACACACACGCTGACACACACACATTGACACACACACGCTGACACACACACACTGACACACACACAAACACACACATACACACACACTGACACACACACAGGCACGCGCACAAGCACACACACACAAGCACACACACAAACACGCACACAAACACGCACACACACTGACACACACACAAACACGCGCACAAGCGCGCGCACACACACACACACACACACACACACACATACACACACACACACACACACACATAGACACACACACACAAGCACATTCGCGCGCGCGCACAAACACACACACTGACACACACACACACACTGACACACACACACTGACACACACACACTGACACACACACACTGACACACACACAAACACACACACACAAACAC